GTAGAATTTCGCTTTGTGTTCACCAGTTTTTTGAAAAGTTCTCCAGTTAGCTACGGTAACAGCCAAAGGTCAAATATCCAATTTCAAGAAACTTCATCAATCCGTTGATATGGTAAAAAATGTAAAAGCGGCTCCACTTTGGTTTGCGAGCTCTGATCTTCCTAAAAAAAATTTTAAATTCATTGTTTTAACACCCCAAATTTAAATATTAAATTTCAAGGAAATTGGTTGATTATTTCTCTTTATATAAGCGCAAATGTGAAATTGGCCCGCTAAAAGGTCCAGTTCCAGAGGTCTGCTATATCCAAAACCGATTAATTATTATAGTTAATGATTATTATTAAGTTTACTTTCAAAAAGAAGAGTTCAGTTTTACTGTTAGTCTTAAGACTAAAGTAAATTGAAATAAATAAAAATAACTAACTTAGTCCTAAGATTAAAGTAAAGTTAAATAAATTTTGGTGATTTTATTTTTTTATTACGGAAAAATAAAATAAACGTAATTGGCGCAGAACGGTAATTGTGCTATGCAAAGATAGACAGTTTTGTGGTATCGAACTTTAAAATCGATTATAAAAAAAACATTTAAACTTAAGTTTAAATTTATTAATAACAATTCCAAAAAAAAGAAGGAAAATTTTTAAACTTTAACTTAAATAAAATTTAAAAAAAAAAACAACTAAAGTTTAAAGAAAAAAATATAATGCAAAGTGACTTTTTGGTTATAATATATACAATGTCTTTAATGCCAAAAGAAAAATTAAAATCCAAAAGATGCAGTTTTTTCAAAAACAATTTTGTTATGTATTTATTATTTTGTAATTTGTTACCTCTAATAAGTATGTAACTAGTTTGTAAGAGCAAGAAATTTAATTTTGTTAATACTTAAATGAAATAAAAGAATTTCTTCATATTTTTTGTATATAATCGATTTTTATTTTACAAACATCACACATCACCATGTGAACATTTCTAATTTATTCGAAAGTACCTAGTATAAAATATATTTCTTAACAAAAAGTACGATGATCAATTTTCAATACACCGTATGAATGTATTAGTAAATTGTGTATTGTCAAGTCTTATATGAAGATATCTGTGATGTGTTTGGTTTTTGAATGTGTGAGAAACGCCCACAGAACCTTCAATCGGTTTTCCATACTTCCCTATTGATCTAAATTAATATTTGTAACAAAAATGTGAGGATTAAATTTCATAATTTTCAAAAACTGTAACGGGCCGCGGGATACAGAATTGTGCCCCGTGTGTTTGATATGCCGTTTATGCCTATGTGTATATGGTATAATAATAATTATTAAAGCCTATAAACACAGAGCTGTATATTAAGCTAAAGCTTTTAGCTTATTCAACTTATGAGATTATGAAAATAAAACGAAAATGAATAAGTTGTGCAGAAAATCGGTATACATTTTATACGATGTGAATATGATATAATATGGACAGAATTGAGCAATGAATTAGCAATACTAAAGGAAGGAGCATCTTTGTTTCTATCTCGTTGTTACTCTCTAAAAAATTGTATCTTGAAAAAAAACATAGTGAAGCCAAAAACTTCAGGTAAGTCTCCCTCTTTGCTCCAAGCATTGTCAAACTGAAACTAGTATTAAGTGCCAAATGTTGTTGTGTTAAAAAAAGAATACTATTTTATAATAACTTATAAAAAAATTATAACAAGTGAAACAAACAAAAAATTTATTGAAAAAGAAAAAGGTTTTTCTTTCTAAAAGAAATTCTAAATTGTTATTCCCATTTGTAAAAACAAATAGTTTTATTAGAATATATACATGTAAATCATTTTAATAATTAAAAGAATCATTTAATCAATAGAGCTTTTTTTTCCAAAATTAAAAACTTAATAAAATTAGAAATTATGAAATACGTTCGACAAGCATAGTATGTCTAAATTTCTAGAACATTGTTAAAATTTTGTTTATATGCTGCAAAATTATTCCAAATTTATAAAAAATCATAGTATAAGAAATCTGCAAAAGTAATTATGCAAAAAATTATTTGGAAGAGTAGATTAGTCAGAAGAGCCTTAAGGAGCAATTAAATACCATTGATTTATCATTTCTGTTATACCATTAAATCATCATTTCAATTTTAAATGCGAAAAAAAAAATATTAAGCAAACGAAAAGGACCTTGTCCTTCAATAGTTTTTTTCAGTCTAAAAAATAGTTTCAATAGGAAAAAAATTAAGTTAACCCGATTAAAGCAGTTTGGAAATTTTTTTAATTAGAGCATTAGACCCCAACCAGGGGGGGAAATTGCTCTAATTAAAAAATTTTCATTAGAAATTTCATTTGATTTTTTGGGGGAGGAGCAGAAATATTCAAAAAAGGGAGCCATTTTCAAAAAAGTGGAGCCAATTTTTATATTTCATAAAAAAGACAATTTATTATCGTACGAATACAAAAAAAAATTGGAAAAAAACAAGAACTTTTAATAAAAATTATAAACAAATTCGAAATAAAAAATATCACAATAAAAACTATTTACTATTAAAATAATATTTTTTACATGAAACTTCATATACACTTATGTATACTTTTTTTAAAGTTTGGGCTCTAGGTTTGATGATCAGAAACTACCTTAAAATATTAAAGACACTCATAAAAAAGATTATAACGTTTTTTTTGATTATGCGTTTACTGCCTTATTCCTTTCCTTAATGGTGTTCACAAAATATGTGCTTTAAATAAACAAAATATGTACGTCAAGTAATGGTTTAAATAAAATCACAACTTTGTTCGTAACTGTTCGCATCAATATTTTTAAATAATTTTTTTAAATTTAAACTTTTGCTTACCATTTCAACATAAAACGAGTTTCTCAATTTAGTTTTAATCAAATTAATAGCAGAAAATACGTTTTCAGCTACCGCACTACAGTGCGCTAAACTGAGGTAGTTTTGAATAATTTCAAATTTTCAACAATATGCTCGATCGAATTCAATTAAAATGTCAAAATTGCAATATTATCGTTTATTGAGAAAATGCTATACAAACATATTGCTGACGTTGATGGATTTTCCCAAGTTTTGTTACTTGACACTTTAACTGACTAATTGATTAACTTGACTACAAAAAGATAGGTGGCGGCTTTTGAATTAGCAGTAAAAGGTATATATACATAATTTCGTTAGTCAAAGTATTCTCATCGAATTTTTACACATTGTAAAAAAAGTTAATTTTTTTATTTAGAAATTATATTTTTCAACCGAAAAATTTTTTCAAGAATAATTATCAATATTTTTTGGGTTTGACTGAGGAAAAAATAAAATCGGATAAAATGCAAAAGGAGGAGCCGGGGATAAGAAATTGCAAATTGGGGCCAAACGACAGCCCTCAACTTCAATCAGAGCGACAACTGCAACGTAATCAGTTAACGTCGGTGAAACAACGCTCAATGAGAGCGAAAAAACTGAACGACCTATTTAAAATAAGCAAAGAATTATATTGGTGAACAGTGATTTGACAATATGGCTTATTGCTTTGCTACTTTCAATATATAGTTTGCTATTTTTGCAAAATTAGTTAAGGTTGAAAAATTATTTTTAATAAAACATAAATATTTAATTTATTTTTAATTTTTAAGTTATTCGTTAAACGGGGCATAAAAGCCCTTTCAACAACTTATTTTTATAAAAATTTACATATTAAAAGCTTATTAATATATTTATTTAATTTTAACACATTCATTTGATACGTTCGTTTATACAAAAGATCATCTCTGTTTTGATTATTTATAAATTGAAGAACAGCTTGACAACCAAATGTGTTTCAATTTCACTATGTTCTGTTTATCAAATTTCCACTGCATAAACTAAATTAAAATGTCATTTAATTAAACGACACCGAAAATTTGTTTTTGTAATATGTAGTCCTTGTGCAGTCAATATTAAAATTGCAAAGTGAATGTTGATGAAAATAGTTTTATTATATATTTTAACATTGGCTTGATTCCTATAATAAGATATAAATTGAAAAATGTTGGTGTATATACGTTACATTTAAATGGCCACAAAAAATTTACTTACATTTTTAGCAATTTTTTCAAAAATTCTAATAACCGAAATTTTTGTTTTCTTTTGCTACTTTTGAAATGAACGAAGCCGGAAGCCCACTTCAACATGAAGAACACAAAAAAATATTGTTTCGTTTTTCAGTATATTTCGCTCCTTTTTTTAACGTTTTGTTTTAGTTTAACATCTTGTGTGTCATGTTACCACCCAAAAAAAGGTTACGTTAGTAAAATAGTACAAAAAAAAAGTTGGTAGTTTTCCGTGCTTCCTTTCCAGAGAAAGCATTGTCTTGTCAAGTTTTCCAAGAAAGTGTTTTAAAAGAGTTTTTATCAAAAATAAACTAAACCCTTGAAAAGATACAAAATACTCTGGAAAAATACAAAAAAGACAAACACGTCAGGAAAAAAAAAATTGTGTGATTTTTTTCTCTATAGTAAGGTATTAGTGTACCAGGGTTTTTTAATTCGTCGTCTTTGAACTGTAGATCTCTCAAAGAGTCCACATCTGCATGTTTGTCAGTCGTGAATTGTGTTTATGTGACGATTCTATCATGTTTCAATTTATTTTAGCATTATGTAGTTTTGACATTATTTGTAAATAAGGGTTTTTGTTGGCAAAACTACTTTTTTAAGTTTATACATATATTTTGTTATATCAGGGCTCAATCATATATTTAGCATGCCTTTTATTTCTAATACCTAGTCTTCAGAATATTCAGAATTAATAATCGAAAATGCTCAACAGCTCTAAAATAAAAACAAAGAAAACGAAAAAAAAGCGAAAAAAAAAACAGTTGTACGCAATTTGAGTTTTTAAAATTGAAATGTTGGCAAATGTTTGTGGTACGTGTCCTATAGTTTAAGTACAAAAGGGTTAAATAATTTTGACGAGCGTCCTTATGTCATTTATTAGCATAATGTTTTCCATATCTATTGATATTTTTGTTATGTCAAGGTTCCAAAAAACAATTCAGAAATCTACGAAGTCAATTTCATTTCTATTTAATTTTAGAAATTAGAAGTAAAAATATTTCCAATTAATTGGATTATGTTTAAAATTTGTGAAAGCTGTTTAGGGTTTTAAGGAAATTAGTTTCCAACTTACTACCTAATCAATATTAAAATTTCAAAAATAAAGAAATACATAATTATGTTAAGTGACGAAAAGAAAACCAAATATCGCAGATTTGTGGAGCAATTATATTTAAAATGTCAGGAAATACAGGACCAAAATCAACGATATGTTTTTAGGTTTGGAATAAGTTAGAGAAAGAACTTTACTAAATTATGGATTTTTAGATTGAATAAAATGAAAAAACTTATCAAAAGAAGAAGCAAAGATGTGGAAATTTTGAAAAATAGACTGGACAGATATAATGACGCTTGGCGGCATGTTCCTATTGTGGCACCACATAGAACCAGAAAGACTGAATTAAGAGGAAGGCCGAAAAGCAAATCATTAGAAGCAAAGGCTCGTAAAAAAAAAGCAAAACAAGATGAAAAACTTCCATTGGTAACGAATAATTCTCCCAATAAAGGTACAGATATACAATAGATTCTTAAAACTGCAATCAAGTTTAAATGGATATATTTATTAAAAATTTTTGATTTTTTCAAATATATGAACTTAAGTTATTTTCGATAAGTTACATTTTATTTTATTTATTTATAGCCCAATAATTGGCAATAAACATTTAAAAAATATCTAATAAATTTTTTGAAAAATGTTTGAAATAAGTTAAACGCCCAAATTCTCTTGCAAACTATTCTGGTATTTTAAGATAAAAGTTAATATAAGATATTCTTTTCAAAGTAAATTATTTAAGTTTGGCTTTATTGCTTTATTAGGTGTTTCAGATATACATAATTGGAAAATTTATTTTGTTTACATAAATTGCATAAGAACATTAAATTGATTATTTTCTCAATTGGACATTTTTGTGTACAATATAACATTGAAATAAAGTTGATAATTGCGCTTATAAAAAGTATTTTCAATATTAAATAAAACAAAAAATACCGAGTTAATCAATAATATAATTGTAAATTTCATCTAATTTAGATATGAAGTGTTAAAGGGCAACGAATTTTATTTATTGAAAAGATATTTTAAATAAATTCGAGAATTTTGTATAATAGATTTTCATCAATTTCTGTTAAAAATCTATTAATAATTAAATAATGTTTTTTAATAACATTTTATTAATCAATAATGTTGTACATATCATTTTTTCACTGATGCACAAATACAAAGTTTAATTTTTTGTTTATAGTTAAATTATTTATGGAATTCACTTTCTCAAATATCTATTTCACATAAAATGCATATGTATTTACTCTGTTTGTCGCAATCTCGCTAAACCTAAAATACGAAATGTTTAATAATATTAAACTTTGAAAAATATTCTTACGTTGGGTTAGTTCATCTTGTTCAGAAGAGGCTTGAATTGTTGAACCTATAGTAGAGCCCGGTACTGACGGTACTTCCATATTTAGTTCAAGTCCGTTTTCGTCAGCTACTTGTTGTAACAAAGCATCAACTTGGTTTTGTGGAACGGCAGTTGTAGTTGTCTGTGACATAGTGTTTTCCATATATGAGCTTTGAACATCTAAGTCTTCAAATTGTTGTTCAAATTTATCCATAAGTGATGAAATCTTTTCTAAATTCATTCCCTTCATAGCAGCGTCCATTGCTTTAACCACTCCGGCCATCGAACTTATTTTTAAACAAAATTGTGTTTACAAAATTTACTTAACATTCGCATCATAATACTTACGAGGTTACTTTTCGCGTAGTTAAAGCTGTTTGAACTCTACTAGCAACAGCATCTACTCTTGCTGACATTCTTAAGTAATTCACAGCTTGATTTTTTTGTCTTATTGCATTTTCTGCATGTATTCTGGCCACTTCGACGTTTCCTTTTTGTAAGGCTTTTTTTGCCTTCGCTTGTTCTTGCTTTTCTTCCTTTTCGCATTTTTTAGATTGCCTTTCTAAATCTTTCACAGCAAATTTCAAATTGAAAAGGTGCTCTGGAATAAATATAAAAACTGATAATCCAATATAACTAATGATCGATGCTAAAAACTTAGAACTATAAACATTTCCGTCTTACTCAATATCAGATTTAAAAAAACAAACAAGATAATTTTAGATTTTTTTTATGAGCAATATTTAATAAATACTGAAGTTTAAATGGTTTTCATTGCTTTTTAAACATACTTTCCATAGCAGAAGTAGACATTTCGTTACCCAGTTTTAATAAATTTATTTAAAAATCAAAATGGGACGTACATAAAATTACAGCTTATTTTCTCTAATTGTAAATATGACTCATATTTATTATTAATATTGTCATAGCACCAGCTGATTTAACTTTTATGTGTGACGGTTACTGTTCACATGTATACGACAAAATCTACGATTTAATTGTATTCGTGAATATAAACTTTATTTGACAATGAAGTCGTTTTCTGATTTAAGCTGCATTTTTTGGTTCGTCGCTTTCGCGACGTGCTGATGTATTTTGTATGAAAATTTGAATTTTTGACATTCTCTTTATTTTTAGAGCAGTATTTTTTCTCTCTCTCAAAAAGTTGAATCAACTTCAATTTTAGTGCGGAGGTTTTTTAAAACATCAAATTTATGTATACTGAACTATCACAATTAAATATAATTCTTTTCAGAATGAATAATCAAGAGAAAAATTAGTTCGACTACAAATAGCTCGGCACAAAAAATAATGGAAAAAACTTTATTTTTATCAGATTTACCAACGAGTTAGAAATACTAAAGGAAGGAACATATTGAAAAAACAATGAAACCAAATTTTATCTAATTGCCTTTTTCTTTGCTTCGAGCATTGTCAAAATTGTAACAGGAGAGTATTTATTTTATATTCTTATCTGGCCTCTACTATAAAATATGTGTAATTTGTAAGAAGTATAAGCTAAAATTTTTTTAGTAAGAACTAAAAAAGTAAAAACTAAAAAATATTTCAAAATATTTTTTCGTTTAAATATCTGTAAAAAAAATCAAATTTAAACAAAATTCATTATTTTTTTTCTCTTTGAATAAATTTATTTTATGAATTATAAAATTATGAATTTTGGTAAAATATTTGTGATATAAACTTCTTTATTAATGATTCCAATCCACTTTCTTATCATTTCATTAGGAAAACTGTAACTGTAAAAGATCAAATGAAAATGTTGTATGTATACTATATTTTATCAAAAACAAACTAATTTTGCTTGAAAAAAATTCGGTCTTGGTAAAATTATGTCATTCGAAGTAGTTTTAATTTAAAACAAAAGTAAAACAGATGTTTTCTTTGTAAAATTAAAAACTTGGTAAAATTACAAATTATGAATTAATCAAAGCAATGTTGAATAAACATTTCTTTTAATTATTGAAATAAATATTAAAACAAATTGTTTTTTTACACAGTATACGGTGTAAAAAAACAATTTGTTTTTGCAATTGGGAATAAGAATTTAAAACTATACACCTTTTTCTTTTCAATAAATATTCTTTTCCATAACCATTTTCACCTTTTTCTTTTCCATAAATTCTTATAAAAAAGTATTTTTTTTAACAGTTATTATTAAATATTTTATCTTATTAAATATATTTTATTTAAAAACTACAAATTGTTTTATAAAACAATATTTTCTTTGTGTACTTTTTATATGGCGTCGCATAATTTCTGAGAAGAAAAACAAGAACATTTGTCATTTAATATTAATTTCAGTTTGATATCTTTGATCTCGGATCAAAGAAATAGACTTACCTGAAGTTTTTGGCTTCACTATGTTTTTTTCAAGATACGATCTTTTAGGGAGTATAAGCGAAATAAAAACAAAAATACTCCTTTCTTTAGTATTTCTAATTCATTGAGATTTACTATCGGATTTTTTAAAAGCAAGATGGTGATCAAATAATTTTTTGTGGGAATTTTAGAAAATTATTAAATTTTGACGTACAGTCTAAGATTTGCATTATTATGTAAACAGTGCCATATATGTCAACACCGTTTAACATCAGATAATGTCTTTACATCTAACAAGTCCCAAAACTCAATTTTTTTTACAAATATTACGAATTTTTGGCTTCGTTCCTGTTTTTTTCTTTAAATGCCACTGATCGTGTCATATTTCTTATTATTTTTTTCTTTTTTTTTACGTAAAAAAGAGTTTAATATTTTAAAAAATCTCAGGATATTATACACATTTTTAAAATTTTTTTTTAAATTTTTTCATTCTTCCCATTTAAATTCTACTGTACGAAAAAGAAAGAAAGGTAGGAGGAAAGAAAAAATTGTAAAAAATTTCAAATTCATATTTTAGTTTTCCCATTTGCATTTTCACATTTTGTATTTCCCAATGAGGTAAGTTAGTGTCGGCTAACAAAAATGTTAAGAAAAGTAATATAGGTTGACACATTTCAACAATTTGAATCATCCCATTTCGATTATTTATACGTTACTTATAAAATTGTTTCAAATAATTTCAGTTAGTTTTTAAGTTATTAAAAATAAATATGTATGTACCTACTTCCAATCAATTTTTTTTTTAAATAATAATTTTAAAACTATTTCAAACATGTTATATTGAGTGCTTCAAAAATTTTGTTGTGCTCATCTTTCATATTTTATTACCAGGTAAACAAGAGCAATCTATTTATAAAATAGCCCTGTCTGTGTATGAATCGTAATAGTAAACGCAAACGGAGAAAAATTTACATCAGTACCTACTACCTGTCATTTTACAATGGGAGTTTTTGAGTCATTTGCTAAGATATTATTTATTTCAAAAATAAAATAGATATTCGAATCCGGTCATAAAAAAATAATATTATTGTCTTTTCCAAAACCTTTTAAATATTTTTTTACTTAGGTAATATATTAAGTTTTAAAAATTTTTCTCAGAAATAGAGATAAAATTTAGAAGTGTATATAAAATTTGTATTTAAAAAATAATATTTGATTGTGTTTTAGATATTATTTTCTAATTCCCTTTTCAAATGTTTTCTTTACTATGTCTTCATATCAATATTTAATAATTATCTTTCATGAATTACATTTTTTACTTGACACAACAGTTACTTCCCATATCTTGAGTTAACTTACCCTATGAGAAAAAAAAGCTGTTCTATTAAAAATAATAATGTCTTTATATCTAACAAGTCCCAATGCTCAGAAGAAAAACTTGAAAGCACGACCTTATTGCTTTCAAGTTTCTCTCTTAGCATTATATAAAGACATTACATCAGATTTATCTAACGGCAAACAATAGAATTAGTTTATTCTCATCTTATTAGTTTACTCTTATTAGACTTACTGTAAGATTTTTTAAAAGTAAAATGGCAACAATTAATTTTTGTAAGAGTTTGGCAATGCGATCAGTAGACCTTTATTTTATTTCATGACAAATATATTAAAATTTGACATTTTGTTTAAACGTCATCAAATGAATCCAACTTGATATGTAAACAGTCATCAGACTTTATCGCGAAACAAATACGATTTTTTCGAGAGGAATCTCAAAACTAGCCGAATAAAAATGGTATGTGACTAGAAGTAACATTCAAAATTTTGTTGATTTTCAACATTTGTGTATACATAATATGCTAATTCATAAATTTTTATTTACATCTAAAGGGAAGCAATCCGGAGGTAGCTCGTGATGGAGTTAAGTTAGGGCTTAATAAGAGTATATTGAAGGAAATGTGGGCGAACTAACAATGAGTACTTAGTACGCTATTGTCAAAGAAATAGCGTAATAATCAAAGAAGTTAGATCAAAATTAATGGTTAGTCGTTTTCGACTAGTTTCATAGTTTATTTTGAGGAGGGTCTTTTTTAGTGGATTAAAGTTCCACACTACTGCTTTTCGTCTGGCAGTGTCTTTCGAGATTTTTCACCTTTCCTCTCGGTAAAAAAAAAAAAAAAAAACTTTAATCCTTGAGAAAATTATACATATCTCATCTTTTTCTCTCATTTTTGTCTAGGCGCTTTGCATACAAAAGCTTTATGAAGTTTTTTCAAATTTTATAAAGTTTTTAAAAATTTTCTTATATCAGATTTAAGGTTTTGTGATTTGAACTACACTTTTATTAACTTCGTGTCTTGTTTTTTTGTACGGAAAACATATAATTGAATTTTTTAGAAATTTTTAACATATCGAGTGGGAAAGGGGAAGTTGGAAAGGTCTCGATGACACTGTAATCCTATTTTCTCCAAAGAGCTTTTCGGGCTTTGAATAGTCCCTCTAGCCCTTTTTTTGCCAAAGAAAATTAAAGGCTCCTAATTAAAGGAGCCTAGCAGAATCTATTATCCCCTGATAATAGATTCTGCTAGGCTCCAGGTCAAAAAATTGGTTCTAAGAAGCAAAAATTCAAAGTTCAAAATATGGTCAAATGGAGTATTAGGGAAAACTCCCCTTGAAGATCTAGCCTAAAATAATTCCCGAGTTGGTAAAAATGGAAGATTTTTACCAACTCGGAAATATGTATGGTCAAGTGGGATACCGTTAAAAAGATCTTGGTGTTGTCTTAACTTTAACTTTGATAAAGTTTCGGCATGCTCTACATATGTGAATGTTCTTTATTTACATACATAATTAAAAGGAACAGCTATTTATTGAATAATGTCAAATTTAGTTCATAATTTTATTAAATTGAAATTTGTGAAAGAAATGAAATTTATTGTGAAGAATTTTATTGTGAAATTTGTCTGTTTACAAAACTTCTACACCCTTGAAGATAGAAACCTAAAATTGTATATGTACATAGATCTTTACTATAAACTAATTTTCGTAGAACATAGTTTTTACCTATCTCCCCCCCTCTAAAAGTTATACCCCCTCAAAACCCTAAAAATGCCATTTTTCAACTGTTTACTGTAGTTGAACCACATGCATTTTTCAAATTTTACAAACGCAGAAAAGCAGTGGGATGCTTCGTATATCACGCCATACTATACATGAACTTTAAAAAGACAAAATGGCCGTTAAAATTTACCGTTACATAAAATCCGTTTTTTTTTTCAAATTTTTGATGTTGTTTTTCTTCTAGACCCCAGGATGTGGGAGCCTGAAATTTTAGTAGCTTTTAGGCATGAACCAATAGTTCATTTCGTTAGAAGAAAAGTTTTTTCCATCTCCCCCCCCCATATGTAAAACTTGAATTTTTGATGCCTTATATTTCCGAAACCGTAAGCTTTTTCAAATTTCTATAAATGCAGAAAGGTAACGGTAAATTCCACGACATTAAAAAATATAAATACTTTTCTTAACTTACACAATTAACCCTTAAAATTCACCATTATGTTAACCCCTCTTTAAATTAATTTTTGCTTTATTTTAAAAACTGCATAAATCGTTC